TCAGCCCCTCGAGCCTGTTCCGCCATTCTATAAGACCATGGCTGATCTGTACCGATTCCAATTACCCGCTCCTTGGCCCCTATCTCTTGATACCTTGACCTAAAAAATATCTTTCCAACCCAGTCTTGAAAATTATCAGCAACCTGACCCAGAATGTGCTCACGGAGCCTGTAAAATGTGAAAGAACTGGAATCTGAACATGTGATCAAATGAGGGACTTCAATATGGTTGTGTTTCCTTAAAATAATAATGAATAATAATAATAATAATGAGAATCCAACCAATTTGTACACAGCAATGTCCCACAATCAGCCATGAAGTCAGTGACCAATGTTATCTGAGGACAGGACATTGGGAGAAATTCCTTTCTCTTTCCAAGTAGTGGCACAGAATCTTTAATGTGCACCTGGACAGCAGACATTTTAACATCTGAGTTTAAGATCCACTAGTTGGATCCCCTATTGCCATCCGTCCTCCAGTCCCACACCCAAGTAGTCTTTTGTACATACGAGCCCAGTCAGTGAATGGCAGCAGGAACCTGGCTACCTATTTGTTCCTCCTTAATCCAGCGATACCGAGGCTAATTGTTACTGCCCCGCTTGAAATCAGCTTAATCAGCGCGGACTTAGATTGAATCAGGGACCTTATGCTAATAATATACATTTAATTTAGAGCCTGTCATACCATCAATATGTCTCAGGGGACTTTGCAAGATTTACTGCAGTGTAATGACAGTGTATTTTGTAGACATCATCAAAACATCGGAAAGCCCTTTACGAGGTTAACTTGTTTTTTAAAAAAATGCGGTTACTCAATCCACGACTATTTGTGGGACACTGCTGTGTGGGCAAATATCTGCCGCATTTCACCCACAAAATACACAGTTAATCTACTTTAACGATAATGTAATACTAATACTTTAATTTGATATAGCTCTTTTTCATGTCTTCTAGATGTGGTAGAATTTGCAATACATTTGTGATGGGCTTTGAGACGTCTCAACGACGAGATAAGGCGCTATACCAAATTGCAAGGATTATTATTTGTTTGTAATAATAATAATAATCCTTGCATTTGATATAGCGCTTTTCACGTCTCCTAGACGTCCCAAAGCGCTTCACAGAATATACTGTAAAGTGAATTGACTGTATATTGTAGGTGAACATGGCAGCCACTTTGCACACAGCAACGTCCCTGAGACAGCAGTGAAGTCCCGTCCAGGTATGGCTCAACTTTGCACTGTACTAAGCAAGGAAGCTGGAAAGTGTTTTGTGCAGTAAGTGGGATAACATGCTGCAGCCAGGGCAACAGGCACAGGGCAATTTATATCTCCAAACTGATCCTGGGACACGCTATAAACATCAGAAATCAGAATACACAAACTCACAAGGTATAAACTGGAAAATGGGCTGGGGAGATTGTCTAAGCAGAGTCATGACGTTATTGTATCCATGCTTTCATCACCTCGAGGACAGCTTTTTCCAAAGCTCTCCTCATTGCTCTCCCCAGATCTACTCTTCAGAAGCTACAACTTATGCTGAACTCTGAAGCACGAGTTCTTTCCTATACAAGGCTCCACACAGTCATTAACCCCATCCTGGCTAATCTCAATTGGCTCCCGGTACCTCTGTGGTTCATGTTTAAGATCTCTGCCCAGGTCAACAGATTCCTCCAACAATAATAATAGTAATAATAATCCTTGCATTTGATATAGCGCCTTATCTGGTCTTTGTGTCATCTCAAAGTGCTTCTCAGTAGATTTACAGTACTGTAAAGTGAATTAACTGTATACTTTGTGGGTGAAACTTGACAGCCAGTTGCGCATAGTAGTGTCTTACAAACAGTGATGGATTAAATAATTATTTTTTAAATTCACAGTGTAAATTCACCACCTCCGCTAACCATGAAAGCTTCAAAATAGAGTGTTAATTATTCTTAATTGTTCTTAACATTCATTTTTAATGTGGTACAGAATAACAATGATCCTTGCATTTGATATAGTGCCTGAAAGTTCTCTACAGAATATACTGTAATGTGTGTTTTGTGGGCAAAACTCATTAATACTGAGTGATGGGCTTTGTATTGTGGGTTTGTACCCACTGGGTCAAAAGGACCGAACCTAAACCCTGCCATTCAAACCCCGGTTTGCTGACCCATAGAACCACCTAACTACCCCCTGTATTGAGGGTCTTCAAATGTTTACTGTCCATATCCTGGGGGAGGTAAAGACAGTCAATCATCGAGCCTTAATCTGATATCCAAAAACTTTAATAATTCTGATAATGTCCTGGATTTTACAGATTGATGTTCAGTGATTCGCAAGTGGGTAATTTGTTCGTAAAGCAAAGTTAAAATACACTATTTTTTTTTACAACCACAGTTATGTTACCCCAAGCAAGTGACGATAATATCAATGCTGGTACCGAGGCAAGTAATTCCCCCCACACCGCACCCCCACCACCCGCCCCCCACACACACCATCCTCAGAAAATCACATCTCGCAGGTGAGCTTTAAAACAATGCAGCGATCCAAGTAAACCCACTCTCTGGATCCGCATATCACCACAAGTCACTCTACCTTCCTGGGATTTCTATTCCACTAACTTTCCTACATCTTAATACAGTGAACTCCTGACGACTCGTCCCACCTTAACTTGTCACTACCACTTAAGTCATCGCGCTGTCAACATCCTGGCCGCATTTATTTATATATTTATACACACGCCTATCTCATCGCTCCTGATAACTCGTCACTGAGCCCTTTTCCCTTGGAGCGATGAGTTATCAGTTTACGACATCTCTCCCTATCTCTCCCTTTACCTCAAACCCTATTTAGACAGCCTTTATATAAAGAAAGTTTACCTGACACAGAGTTTTTTTTAACGAAGCAAATGATGAGCTGTGAAAAGAGGAGAAATTCTAAACACGCCCGTGCCCCGCTATATATTTTGGGGGAAAGAGAAAATAATTCAAACAATTTAGAAACTTAGAAAAAAAAAGAAAAAAATTCGCAAACAAATTACATCCTTTGTAAACTTAATTTATGGGATGTTCCCACTTCTTTCTTTGGTCCAAAAACACATCATTCCCCATGTGAAGTAATGTTTCATGTGCTTGCGAGATCCCAAGCCACACTCAACACAAACTTGACGGGAGCTTTCTGAAACAAGCTTTGCCATGTTTATCAACATTCATATTAAAAAGCCAACAAAAGTCTCCATTTCAAGCGCGGCAGATTCCTCTGTATGTATGGAACAGACTCCCAAGGGAGATGGTGGAAGCCGAAAGCGTCAATTCTTTCAAAAACAATTCAGATACAATCCAATACAAAATTATAATTGCATAGCACCTTTCACGTCAGAAGGACGTTCCCAAGGCGCTGGACAGTCAGGGATTCGAACCCGAGCTGGCGGTCCGAATCCCTGATTTCTTTTAGGACATAATATCTCGGGATGCCGTAAGCAGTTTGGTGCACATGTATGTGCAACCCACTGCCAGGACGGTGGAAGGAGAACTAGATGGACCTTGGTCTTCTATCATCGAGCAAATTCTTACGTTCAGTGTTTCGGTCGATCCAAGACTGACAGAGTCTCACAAGAAAACCAGCTCTTAAAACGTCCTACAACGCAAAGCCTGCACACAAGTCTGGGAGCCGCACGAACAGCAAAGTGTTATAATCCACGATATCATGCGCTCCAGTTTCGGTGTTGTCGCACTGGGGAAAACTCATATAAACACACTCTTACAAACCGCTTCCGCGGAGCGCAGGGCAGCCAGGATTCTGAGTTACTATTCTGGTGAATACAGCACTTTTAGAGAGAGGTATCATTTTGAATTTTTATTTTGCGCTCAACACAGAAAAGCTCCAAAAACCACCCACAAATTACACCTAAATTGATACATTTTTTTCCACACCAGCTGTAAACAAACAATTATAGATTTTCTGTGGTGGTGGTGGTGGTGGTTGTTGTTGTGATACTTTGAAAGACCAAAGCCGAAAGTTGAGAGGAAAGTTTTAGGAAGTTGATGGGTACTGAGGGAGTGGATGGATGAGATTCTATATCTACATCAGTATTTTTCTATCCAGTGTGACCAGAACAGCTGTGATGTCTACAGTAATATATATATGTATATATATATATATATATATGTGTGTGAGAAAAAAAACCCACAAATACATCATCACTTCTTTTAAGACATTGAAATAGCATCACAGCTTTTTGGTCACTCTGTAAATATATAATATCTGTGTATATAATATCACTAACACGTTACGTACACCGTACACTATATTACCATCACTCCCAAGTTTGGGGTAAGTTGTTGGGAGCGGAAGGAATGGTGAGAGGTGATTTATTGACATCAGTAATTCAAAATATAACAACACACATATATATATAGACATCTCTCTCTCTAATATAGTATTGAAAATAAATATATACACATACACACATATATATAAAGACGTATCTCTCTCTCAATATTGAATACAAATATATATATATACACATATATATAAAGACATCTATATATAATATAAAATATAAATATATACATATACATATAAAGACATCTCTCTTTATAAATATAATATAAAATATAAATATATACATATACACAAATATAAAGACATATCTCTCTCTATATATAATATTGAATACAAATATATACATATACACATATATAAAGACATCTCTCTCTCTATAATATAAAATATAAATATATCCACATATATAGTGTTATTATTATTATATATACAGTGTTATTATAATATAAATATACAGTGTTATTATTATATATATACAGTGTTATTATTATATATATAGTATTATTAATATTATATAGTGTTATTATTAATATTATATATATTGTGTTATTATTATATATAGTGTTATTATTATTATTATATATACAGTGTTATTATTATTATAGTGTTGTTATTATATATACAGTGTTATTATATATAAACACACAGTGTGTGTCGGAGTGTCGGTACTCACATGAAGGAGTGATAGATGAAGGCACAGCCTCGGGGTCTCTCGAGCACATTGTAGAGGCAGTTCTGGAGTCTCCGGTAACGGGCGGTGCGTTTGTTGCTGTGTTTCTGGGGCAGAGGTCTCCCCAACAGCCCCAACCGCGCGCCCTGAGCACTGTCCCCGGTACCCACCGCCGCCGCGGCCCCGAGCCCGGGGTCCCCGGGACAGCCCGCGAGCCTGAGCCGCCCCCCCCCGCCCCCCCCGCCCCCCGGACCCCCGCCCCCCGGACCCCCGGACCGCGCGTCGCCGCTCTCCACAGACGTCAACCCCACGAACTCCACCCGTTTGTCGTCGGGGACACCGCCGTTGTCGGTGTGGCTCCGGGGCATCGCTCCACCGTCACCGTCACCGTCACACCCCCCACACCCCACCCCACCCCACCGGGCCAGAGCGACACTGGGGGTGGGGGGTGGGGTGAGGGGGTGGGGGGAGTGTGGGGGGGTGAGGGGGTGGGGGGAGTGGGGGGTGGGGGTGTGGGGGGTGGGGGGGTGAGGGGTGGGGGGAGTGTGAGGGGTGGGGGAGTGTGAGGGGTGGGGGGTGAGGGGAGTGTGAGGGGTGTGGGGGTGACGGGTGAGGGGGTGTGGGGGGTGAGGGGGTGAGGGGGGAGTGTGAGGGGGTGAGGGTGTGGGGGGGTACCGGGGGTCCTGCAGTAGCTTTACCCGCAAATAACGCCCCCAAAACCCGACTCTCACCCACAGCCGCTCTCCCCCTCTCTCTCTCTGTCCCTCTCTCTGTCCCTCTCTCTCTGTCCCTCTCTCTGTCCCTCTCTCTCTCTGTCCCTCTCTCTCTCTCTGTCCCTCTCTCTCTCTCTGTCCCCTCTCTCTCTGTCCCTCTCTCTCTCTGTCCCTCTCTCTGTCCCCCTCTCTCTCTCTCTATTAAATATACTGTATATAAATAAATATCACACACACACTTTTCTCCCAAATAAAATAAACTTTGGGGGGAATCTCACTCACTATCACTCACTAAAAAGGCAATGGTTTCTGTGGGATTCTCTCTCTCTCTCTCTCTCTCTCACTCTCTTCCCAGAAATTACAACTGTTATTTTCTCTCCTCTTCTCCACTCCACAGGGAAATAGATCCCAACTTTTTGAAGTTTGACACTCAGTTTGAACGACTGTGTGTGTGACTGTGTCTCTGTGTGTGTGACTGTCTGTGTGTGTGACTGCTCTGCTCTGCTGTGTGTGTGTGTGTGTGTTGGCTCAGTCAATCTCTCTCCCTCTCTCTCTCTCCCTCCCTCCCTCTCTCTCTCTCTCTCTCCCCCTCTTCCCCCCTCCCTCCCCCTCTCTCTCTCCTTTGCCCTTATTCAGGTAAAAATCTTTTGAGAGGTTTGCAGTTTAGGGATCTTGTGGCTGTTTTGCTTCAGCGCATCAGCACTCAGTCCTGCAATCCCCAACAACCCCCTCCCTCCCTCCCTCCCTCTCTCTCACACTCTGTCTCTCTCTCTCTCTCACACTCTCTCTCTCACACTCTCTCTCTCACACCATCCCCTACAAGTTAAACATCACTTTGACTTGAGTAACACACGACTCCATCTGTCTCTGTCTGTCTGTCTGTCTGTCTGTCTGTCCACCTGCTGATCACACACACTGATGGGTCACTGTAAGTGTAATCCGCAGCTCCAACCCCCTTCTCTCTCTCTCTCTCTTTTTTTATACATATATATATATAAAACACGTTGACGACTCGGAAATTTCAGATCCCTTTTTGCACAACTCCGAAAAGGTATTCGGTTTTAAGTGAGGGTTTGGTACATTTATAGCGAACTCTGTGTTATGTTGTGTGTGTGTATGTTGTGTATGTGTTATGTGTTATGTTGTGTGTGATGTTGTGTGTGTGTGTGGGGGGGGGGTTATGTTGTGTGTGTGTGTATGTTGTGTGTGTGTGTTATGTGTGTGTGTGTTATGTTGTGTATGTGTTATGTGTGTGTGTGTGTATGTTGTGTATGTGTTTGTGTGTGTGTTATGTTGTGTGTGTGTTTGTTATGGTGTGTGTGTGTTATGTTGTGTGTGTGTGTTGTGTGTGTGTATGTTGTGTGTGTTGTGTGTGTTATGTTGTGTGTGTGTGTATGTTGTGTGTGTGTTATGTTGTGTATGTGTTATGTGTGTGTGTGTTATGTTGTGTGTGTGTGTATGTTGTGTGTGTGTGGTGTGTGTGTTATGTTGTGTGTGTGTATGTTGTGTGTGTGTTATGTTGTGTGTGTTATGTTGTGTGTGTTATGTTGTGTGTGTTTCCACTCACTCGCAGGTCACACTGAAATCGAGCTAAATAGGAACGCAGGGAATTGAAGAGAAACAGCACCTTTGATTAGAGACACACACACACACACACACACACCAACTCTCAGGGTTTGTACATTAACCTGACACAGCAATAATAATAATCATTGCATTGGATATAGTCCCTTATCACATCATTGAGATGCCTCAAAGCATATACTGTAAGGTGATTGAGCTAACTCTGAATGTGGTTCAGCCGATAAGGTATATATAACAGAAAGAAAGAGAGAGAAAATGCTGATGTTTCCCATTAAATCTAAATACAAGAATATTTAAAATCGAAATATAAAAATCTCCAAAAATACATTTGCAATACAATAATAATAGTAATAGTAATCCTTGCATTTGATATAACGCCTTATCACTCTTTGAGACGTCTCAAAGCGCTTCACAGAGTATACTTTAAAGTGAATTGACTGTATATTTTCGGGATGAAACACGGCAGCCAATTGTGCACAGCAGTGTCCCTCAAACAGTCGTGGATTGAGTGACCAAGTTTTTTAACATTTTTTTGGAGGGGAGGGATTATTTGCACCGGAAAAGCGATCCGCCAATTGACTGCCAACCAGGTTCCTATTGCTTGATGAACAGAGGTGTGTAGAGTATGGAAACTTGCCCAGCATTTCGCCCTGCCGGGAATCAAACCCAGGTCCTCTCGTTTTCAAGGCAAGTGCTCTAACCACTAAGCTACAGGACTCCAGTATATTCTGTGAAGCGCTTTGAGACATCTCAATGACATGATAAGGCACTATATCAAATGTAAGGATTATTATTAAATCAGACTTCACAATAACTCGTAATAGTTATATGCACGAAACAGGTATATTTATTCTACCGACATCTGCACCACTCAGGAGCTATTGACTCTTCACAACAAAGCCTTATTCTTTCACACCATCTCTTACTCACTGTAAACAGCACAAGACTCAGTGATTCCTGGATTGTAACCTGAAGCTCTGTCCAGATGACAACCATATTATTTTGTGGTTCTGACCTCATAAAGTGAATTGAATTACTGCTTATATTTAGTGAATCCGACACCTGGTCAAGGTGAAGGTGTCCGTGATGGGGATGGAAACACTGGCTACATCCAGTGCTTGGGAGTCAAACACATTGCCGGTAGTTATACCCAGGGCTGGATCCCATGTCAGAATCAGTTTAAAGCCTCTTCGCCCCCTCCCCTCCTCCGCCCCACTCTGCCTCAACAAATGTGCTCAGGTGCCTCTGACTGCACTTTTGTGGGATTTACATTCTGCGTTTTGCCCACAAAATACACAGTCACGCCACTTTACAATATATTCTGCGAAACGCTTTGAGACTTCACAATGACACGATAAGGCGCTGTATCAAATACAAGGATTATTATTATTCTTTAACATTTCCTGTGCCAGCTATCTTTGGACGGCACCTAATTTAATGTCAGGCTGTGTTGGGGTGAATCCACAGTCTTTGGGAGACGGGTTGAAGTTCAGCCTTAAAACATGTTTAACACCTTACAGAGAGAGAGAGAGAGACTTTCACTGCCCCAGTCAAGTCTGGGGACAAATATAGATTCCACCGTTTCAGTACATCCGAGCCCCAGATTAACGGCATCTATAGTTGTGCCATACAGAGCACAGCTAAACTTGCCACAATGCAAGTAAAGACTCCCAGAGTTTACAGGGAAGATTATGAATAATGAGAAAATAAACTCGGCATCAGTTTTGAACTTAATAACAATAATCCTTGCATTCGATATAGCACCTGATCACCTTGAGATGTCTCAAAGCACTTCACGGGATATACTGCAAAGTAAATTGATTGCATATTTTGTGGACGAGAAGAGATGACTCCTAGCGGAAAATATAAAGGTGTATAAGATATTAAATGGGATTGAGAAAGAAAACACAGAATAATACTATCAGATGTAACCAAAGCAGCAGGTTAAGGGGTAGAAGTTCAGGGTCGTGAAGGGCAATTTGAGGACCAATTGTTTTTCCTTTGATTAATGGGGAATTAACAGGTGGAACCAGTTACTGGGAAGAATGGAAGAAGCCAGGACCCTGGACTCATTTCATTTAAGAACTGGAGCTGCATAATGGGAACAAAGGGGTTCAGCAATGAGAGTCAATGGGCTGAAGGAACTCTTTCACTTGAACTTCCATTGTGATCATAGTCTCCAGAGTTTCACTTGTCATTGAACCTTTGTTGCAAATTACATCACATTAACTAGATGGAGAAAGCAAACCAGCTGCCTTCCAACTGGTGGTTTGAAAATATTTACCAGTGTATTCAGTGCTCTTATTTATAAATCCCTTTAACATTTGTCAGCTTGACCTCTCATCTTTAAGGCGTGTGCATATTATGATTAACCGCTCGGTCTCTCTGCTGTTTCCGTCCTTTCAAAGTTTTACCATTTAAGTGTTCATTTCACCTCCTTATTCTCTCCAAGTGTATCGCTCTGTATTTCTCTCCATCCAGATTTCACCTGCCATCTCTCTGCCCAATCCACTAATCTGTCCTGAGGTCACTTACAGTCCTCTTTTCATTTAGTCACACCCCCTGTTTTGTGTCATCTGTAAATTTAGCATTGTATCCCTTTCAGATTATTTATATATATATTGAGAAGCCCAATGGCCTTTGTTATTTCCTCCCTGACGTGCCTCCAGATTCTCGGATGCCTGTGCCAGGGGTTGGTGCTTTGATCACTTTAAGTCTCTTAAACATTTTCAATCCCGTTTACTTTCTGAGAATTATCCTTTTTAATTGCTCCACTTTGCTATCACCCTTTTACTATCACACTTTCTGTAAAAACCGCGGCAGAGTATTCTAAATTATTATTCTAAATATCTCCCCTTGATTAGATCCTAGTCTGTACCTCACTCCTAGGAAACTGCTATTTTATATGCTGTATTATTTTGCTTGTAAGTCATGGCTTTAACCCCCTAATTTGCTGAATGATTTATTTTCTCAGACTAAGCAAACCAGTTGAACGTCTGTGAGATACTGGCAAATGTATTACAGTTGCCAGAGTTGAGAATTGATGGGCACGTGGGCAAGGTTACTGAGCT